TTTCTCTCCTGGTGACGAGAACATAGAACAGATGACGTCATATATAATGTTTAGTATAATGTGTAAATGTTCCACTTTGTTGTTGTGGAGGGTTTTATGTCGTTCTGTAGCAGTGGAGCTCCTCATGGATTAACAGAGAAAACAGAGATAACAGCTACTCTGTTCTCTACCTGCTCAGGTACTCTGTTCTCTACCTGCTCAGGTACTCTGTACTCTAAGATAATAGGTGTCATGGAATAACCTTCTCCTCCTCCTCTTACTCCCTCAGAGACTTCCTCCCTCGTGGTTCAGGTATTGTGACTCGTCGTCCTCTGGTGCTGCAGCTGATCAACTGTCCAACTGGTGAGATGGTTTCCTGTCATCATGGTTACACTGCAAACATGAACCTGATCATGTGACTGATCATGTGATGTGTATTTATCAGAATATGCAGAGTTCCTTCACTGTAAAGGGAAGAAGTTCATTGACTTTGATGAAGTTCGTCATGAGATCGAAGCTGAAACGGATCGAATCACCGGACAGAACAAAGGAATCAGTCCGGTACCCATCAACCTCAGGGTGTACTCTCCTAATGGTAACACAGTAATACTACACATTAATACACACTAATAATACAACTAATACACACACATTTACCCATCAACCTCAGGGTGTACTCCCCCAACAGTAACACACTAATAATACACACTAATACCTAACTCTGTCATTGTGTTCTCAGTCCTGAACCTGACCCTGGTGGATCTCCCTGGAATGACGAAAGTCCCTGTTGGGGATCAACCGGCAGACATTGAGAACCAGATCAGAGAGATGTTGATGCAGTTTGTGACCAAAGACAACTGTCTCCTATTGGCTGTTTCTCCTGCCAACTCTGACCTCGCTAACTCTGACGCTCTGAAGATCGCTAAGGAGGTGGACCCCCAAGGTCAGTCCTCCTCCTCTAAACCTCACCCCCTGGACCCCTCACCTCCGTCTTCTGCACCTCCTACACTTTCAACATATTATACCTCTGATCAGAGATATAATTCTGAGCAGGACTACCAGGTCCAGGTCTAGGGCCCCTGGTGGGCCCCTGGACCTGGACCTGCACGGTGCCACTCAAAGCCTCCCTCACACGTCTGTCCATGCTTGTGATCTGTTGGTGGGTTTAAATTAAGAACTTGTGTGTTCAGGTCTGAGGACCATCGGTGTGATCACCAAACTGGACCTGATGGACGAAGGGACGGACGCCAGAGACATTCTGGAAAACAAGCTGCTTCCACTACGCAGAGGTAAGAAGTACGGTTTTAAACCAGTGTCACGAAAAAGACCCTAAAGATATTTAAACCAACAAGAAAGACTTTGTGAAGAAACAAATCAGATAAGAAGCATAAAACATGCAGGTAACAGGTCCCAGGTGTCCTCACAGAGACAATGATACACTCTGAACTCAGGTCGCAATGATGCACTCTGAACTCAGGTCGCAATGATGCACTCTGAACTCAGGTCGCAATGATGCACTCTGAACTCAGGTCGCAATGATGCACTCTGATCTCAGGTCGCAATGATGCACTCTGATCTCAGGTCGCAATGATGCACTCTGATCTCAGGTCGCAATGATGCACTCTGATCTCAGGTTACATCGGTGTGGTGAACCGCAGTCAGAAGGACATCGATGGGCGGAAAGACATCACGGCAGCTCTGCAGGCTGAGAGGAAGTTCTTCCTGTCACACCAGTCATACCGACACCTGGCTGACCGCATGGGCACCGCCTACCTGCAGAAGATCCTCAACCAGGTCAGCACACATATTGTTCCTCTAATGTCCTCAAAGTCTTCTGAAGGTCCTCTGAAGGTTCTCAGAAGGTTCTCAGAAGATCCTCTGAAAGTTCTCAGAAAGTCTTCTGAAGGTTCTCAGAAAGTGATCAGAAAGTCATTACATTACATTACATTACAGTCATTTAGCAGACGCTTTTATCCAAAGCGACTTACAATTCAGAGTCTATCACATTTCTACACCGTAGGCACAACTACAGGAGCAATTTTGGGGTTAAGCGTCTTGCTCAAGGACACATCGACATGCGACTAGCGGAGCCGGAGCCGGGGTTCAAACCACCGACCCTCTGATTGAAAGAAGGCCCTGCTATCCACTTAGTCACAATCGCCCCGCAAGTCCTCTGAAAGTCTTCTGATGTTTCTCAGGAAGTCCTCAGAAGGTCCTCAGAAAGTCCTCTGAAAGTCTTCTGATGGTTCTCAGAAAGTCCTCTGAAAGTCTTCTGAAGGTCCTCAGAAGGTCCCACTCAGACAGTGAGATAAATTGGTTTGAGGTTAGCGTTAACGATCAGCTTCCTTTGTAACCTAGTAACAGAGCGTTTCTCTGTTACCGTAGCAACTGACCAACCACATCCGGGACACATTACCGGCGTTACGAAGCAAACTGCAGAGTCAGCTGTTGTCCATCGAGAAGGAGGTGGAGGAGTACAAGAACTTCAGACCAGACGACCCGGGACGCAAGACCAAGGCCCTGCTGCAGTCAGTACTATACACTGATACTAGTACCACACACTGATACTAGTATACTAGTACCACACACTGATACTAGTATACTAGTACCACATACTGATACTAGTACCACATACTGATACTAGTACTACACCATGATACACACTGATACTAGTACCACATACTGATACTAGTACTACACCATGATACACACTGATACTAGTACCACATACTGATACTAGTACTACACACTGATACTAGTATCACATACTGATACAAGTACTACACAACGATACTAGTACTACACACTAATATTACTAATACTGTGTGTGTGTCTCTGTGTGTGCATGTGTCAGGATGGTGCAACAGTTCGCCGTAGACTTTGAGAAGCGGATCGAAGGATCAGGAGATCAGGTGGAAACATACGAGCTGTCAGGAGGAGCCAAGATCAACCGGATCTTTCATGAACGCTTCCCCTTTGAGCTGGTTAAGGTAACACACACACACACACACACACACACACACACACACACACAAAGTTTATTTGTATATCACATTTCAACAACAAGGTAATTCAAAGTGCTTCACATAAAACCATTAAAAGCATCAAAACATAAGGCAATAGAAAAGGAGATTTAAAAACAATTAAGAACATTCACTGAAACAGTCATTAAAACACTAAAAAGCAGTGTAAGAAATAAAATGCAGTAGTAAAATGCAGAAATGCAGAAATGTGTTAATATCCTTGAATGTGGTTTAATTAAAGGCAGCAAACATAAAAGTCTTCAGTCTTGATTTAAAGGAGCTGAGGGTCTCAGCAGACCCTCAGTGCTTTATAAACCAACAGCAGGATTTTAAAATCAATTCTTTGCTGGACAGGAAGCCAGTGCAAAGACCTCAGAACTGGAGTGATGTGATCCACTTTCTTGATCTTACTGAGGACTCGAGCTGCAGCTTTCTGACTGACTTTTTACAGAGACCTGTAAACACACCGTTACAGTAGTCCAGTCTACTGAAGATGAATGCATGGACAAGTTTTTCCAAATCCTGTTGAGACATAATCCTTGCTATATTCTTCAGGTGATAGTAGGCTGATTTTGTAATTGTCTTGATATGGCTGTTCAGGTTGAGGTCTGAATCCAGAACTACACCTAGATATCTGGCTTGGATTGTAGTTTTTAACATCAGTGATTGAAGCTGAGCGCTGACTTTCAATCGTTCGTCCTTGGTACCAAAAACAATTACTTCTGTTTTGTCTTTGTTTAATTGAAGAAAATTCTGGCTCAGAGGCCGAGAGTCAGAGTCCACAACCGGGTGGGTGGAGGGGGGTCCGGAGGAGGGACGGCTGGATCTAGAGTTGCTCCGGACACAGGTGCTCGGGGGGACTGCCGGACTGCCAGAATTGCTCTGGACACAGGTGCTCGGGGGGACGGCTGGTCTGCCAGAATTGCTCTGGACACAGGTGCTCGGGGGGAATGCCAGACTGGGGAGACTGGGGGTCCGGAGGACGGAACTCTAGAGATTGGGGGTCAGGAGGACGGAACTCGAGAGACTGGGGGTCAGGGGGACTGCACTCGAGAGACTGGGGGTCAGGGGGACTGCACTCTAGAGACTGGAGGACAGGGGGGGACTGCACTCTAGAGACTGGAGATCAGGGGGTCTGCACTCTAGAGACTGGAGATCAGGGGGTCTGCACTCTAGAGGCTGGAGATCAGGGGGACTGAACTCTAGAGGCTGGGGATCGAGAGCGGAACTGAACTCTAGAGGCTGGGGATCGAGAGGGGAACTGAACTCTAGCTGGAGTCGGCCGGACCGCCGATGGGACATGGGGAGCTGGAGTTAGCTGCGGCCCAGCGGAGACGGGGGAAAGCTGCGGCCCAGCGGAGACGGGGAAAAGCTGCGGCCCAGCGGAGACGGGGAAAAGGTGCGGCCCAGTGGAGACGGGAACAGGGGAACGCTGCGGCCCAGCGGGAACGGTGGATCGCTGCGGCCCAGCGGGAACGGGGGTCTGACCCTTCCTCTGCCTCTGCCTCCTACGAGGGTTGAAAGGGCAGCCCATCTGGCCGTGGTTCGCCTCCTGGACACTCCGAGGCCCTCCCAAGGCCAGGCGGGTCCATAGCTTTTCAGCAGAAAAGCACTCAAAACGTTGGTCCACTGAGTCCAACATGTCATGGTTCGCCTTCTGGACAAGGCAGTATCCCATAAACTGTTCATACCACTCAGGGAGACGCCACTCCAAACGGTGGTCTGCTGAGTCTATTTTAGGCCAGATCATTCTGTCACAGGGCATGATGGAGGACTCAAATGCAGACCAGACCAGAATTAGAGTGAAGTGGAATTTAATTAAAACTTAAATCAGAACAGGAAACTTACAGGAACACAGGGAATTCACAGACGAGACAAGAGACGAAGGGGGAAATCCAGCAGGACGAGGCAGGGCAGGCAGACAGGGAAACCGGGAACAGGACAAGCCAAACGGACGGGTAGACATGACAATGATCTGGCAGTGAGTGACTGAGAGGCAGGGGTTTAAATAGTGGCTTGAACAGGTGAGGGGAGTTGTTATGATGAGGGAGTGCTTGATTAGTGATCAGAGGCAGGTGAAGGGAGTTAGGCTGCTGCTGAGGGAGTGACTGACAGGTAGAGTGAGGAGGGTGTGGAGCTACACAAAGACACACACAGAACACAGAAGGCAAAGCCTGATCGTGACATACCCAGCCCTTGTATGGGATTATAGTACCCTGGTGATATAGTTATGTAGATTTGTTTGTCGTCTGCATAATTATGATAACACACTTTGTTGTTTTCCATAATCTGAGCTAGTGGAAGCATGTAGATGTTGAACAGAAGAGGCCCCAGTATTGAACCTTGGGGAACACCACATGTCATTTTAGTCAGCTCTAATGTGTAATTAGCTACAGACACAAAGTATTCTCGGTCCTTCATGTAGGATTCAAACCAGTTAAGTGATGTGCCAGAGAGTCCCACCCAGATCTTTAGTCTTTCTAGTAGTATGTCATGGTCGACCGTGTCGAATGCAGCACTGAGATCCAGTAATACCAAGACTGAAATTCTGCCATTGTCTGTGTTTAAGTGGATGTCGTTGAAAACCTTAACAAGAGCAGTTTCAGTGCTGTGGTGCTGTCCAAAGCCTGACTGGAAAACATCAAAGCAGTTATTTACGGCCAAGAAGTTGTTGAGCTGTTGAAAAACCGCTTTTTCAATTATTTTATTTAAAAATGGTGCAGTCGCATACAAATGGGAGGTTTGATATTGGCCTATCATTTTTCATTGTTGTGGAGTCTAAATGATCCTTCTTTAGGAGCGGTTTAATAACTGCAGTTTTTAGGGCTTGTGGGAAGACACCTGAGAGAAGGGATGTGTTTACAATTTGATCAGTGGTTATGCAGTTTGAAATATTCTTGAAGAAGTGTGTTGGTAGAATATCCAAGCAGCAGGAGGATGACTTCAGATGTTGTATAATGTCTTCTAGGCTTCTACGGTCGATTGAATGAAATTGTGTCATGATATTTGAATGGATGTTATTCAGAGATGGGGACAACACATGTCCTGTGGTTGGTGTGGAGGCACTCACTGCTTGTCTAATTTACTGAATTTTGTCAGTAAAAAAGGAGTCAAAATGATTGCATGCCCAGGTGGATTGGAGCTCAGCAGCTACTGACACTGGAGGGATTGTTAGTCTGTCGACGGTAGCCAATAAGGCGCGTGTATTGTTATTGTTTTTGGTTATGATGTCAGAGAAGAAGGACTGCCTTGTCACAGTGAATCTGGAGATTTGTTTTTCGCCACCTGCGCTCAGCTTTCCGACACTCTCGTTTCTCTATTCTGACCAGCGTAGCATTTCTCCAAGGAGATCTTTGCTTACCCGAGACAACCTTCACTTTAGTGGGTGCAATGGTATCAATAACATTTTAAACTTTAGAATTGAAGCTATCTACAAGCTCATTGGCTGAGATGCAAGACACTTTGTCACAACCTCGGTTTGGACATTTATGTGCAAGGAGATTGCACTCTCAAAGAAAACACAGAAATGATCAGAGAGTGCAACATCAGTCACAGCGACCTTGGAAATGTTTACACCTTTGGTGATGATTAGGTCCAGAGTGTGCCCCCTGTTGTGGGCGGGTCCTGTCACATGCTGAGTCAGATCATAGTTATCAAGGACACCACATAGTTCTATAGACCCTCTGTCCTGGGGATTATCAACATGGATATTAAAATCTCCAACAATAACAACACAGTCAAAATCAATACAGATTATAGACAGCACTTCAGTAAACTCATCAAAGAAGGTTGCACAGTATTTAGGTGGTCTGTAAATGTTTAATGTGTTTAAAGCTTTATTTGGACAGGCTGACAAGGAATGTATGTTAAGTTCGATAAATTTACAGATTCACTATTGTTTCTTCCCAGCCTCACTTTTCTTTTTCTATGAACTATCAGGACAGGAATTGAGAAGGCTCGCTGCATACAGGGCCCCGACTTCTCCTGGAGAGAATCATTGGTGTCATTAGCCTTGTAGCCTGGACCCAGAATATATTAATTATTGCCTTCATCAGGTAGGGGAGACAGTAGTGGAGGTCGGGGATGGGCAGGGCGCTTTAACTTCGCCGATTGTGTCAAAACTGGCTGAGGACTTCAAGCCAGTGGCGGGGGTGGGGCTGTACATCGAGGAGTGGGGCGAGGAGTGTCTTTGGTTCCAGCAATGACCAGCTCTTTCATGTGGTCAGTGAACTCCAGGTGGGGGGAGGATGGGGAGAGTGTGAGTAGAGAGGAAAGGGACCTGGATGGAGTCTGAGGGGTGGAAGTAGGTGCTGGTGAGGGAGGTAAAGACTCCTCCTCTCGGAGGGGGGGGGGGGGGGGGGGGGAAGAGGGGGGGGGGGGGGGGGGGGATGGCGCCTCCCCGGGGGGGGGGGGGGGGGAGTGGGTGATCAGAGGCGGTCCCTGATGGTGAAGTTGGAGACTCCTCCTCGTGGATCTCCTTAAGCGGGGCATCCTTCCCGTAAGGTCTCTACGGCGATGCTGTGTGGTTATCTCTTGTTTAGACTCCTCTTGTGTCTTTTCCTTGGCAGTAGGAACAGACGGATGACGCAGGAAGAAAAATAGGTTAGAGGTAAACAGTTAAACTGACTTGTTCAGGCAAACTCCATGTGCCTTAAAAAGATGTCTGCGCTCCCAGAAAGGTAGAACTTGTTGATAAAATGGACTGAATGGTCAGTACACGCAGTTGACAGACATTTGTTGAGTGCAAACAGCCTGCTGAATCCTTCATCTCCTCCTCTGACTGATGGAAGAGGACCACTGATAAACACCTCAGCCTTCACAGAGCTGACTGTGTTTAACGGATCAATAAAGTCTCGCTTCAGAACTTCAGACTGTTGTTTCACAATATCACAGCTTCCTGTATGCACGGTGATGTTTTTCACCATGGGATGGTCAACCACGATGTTGGAGACCATATCTTTCGGAAAGCAGAGTGTTTTGGTATTCCTGCTGCACAATGTTCTGACATCTTTTACAGCATAGTCACCAACAATCAGAGTCTCAGGCCCAGTCAGTAGCTTTCCCACACACATAGACACACACACACACACACATAGACACACACACAGAGACACACACATATACGCGCACACACTATTGTCTTTCATATAGAAAGCAGTCATCACTGTAATCAATGTATCTGTTTGTGTGTGTTTGTGTGTGTAGTTAGATAGTGATGAGAAGACTCTCCGTAAAGAGATCAGCTACGCCATCAAGAACATCCACGGGATCAGGTGAGATCAATGTGTTATTGATCGGTGTGATTGGTTATCAGTAACGCGTTCTTTCTTCAGGACGTTATTGATCGGTGTGATTGGTTATCAGTAACGCGTTCTCTCCTCAGGACGTTATTGATCGGTGTGATTGGTTATCAGTAACGCGTTCTTTCTTCAGGACGTTATTGATCGGTGTGATTGGTTATCAGTAACGTATTCTCTCCTCAGGACCGGTCTGTTCACTCCTGACATGGCGTTTGAGACGATCGTGAAGAGACTCATCGCTCAGATCAAAGAGCCGTGTCAGAAATGTGTCGACATGGTGATCAACGAGCTGGTGAACACCGTGAGGCAGTGTACTCAGAAGGTACTAGTACTACTACTACTGATACTACTACTACTATTATATAACACCACACCGTGAGGCAGTGTACTCAGAAGGTACTAGTACTACTGATACTACTGCTACATAACACTGTTAGGCAG